GTAGTTTGTGAGACTATATGAGGCAACCATGTTAGGGTTACCTTCTTTATCTTTGTGAGCCTCTTTTGTGAGTGTAGTGAAGTAACCGACTCTTTCTTCGATTCTCTTTGAGAGTGCCACCTTCACTATTTTCTTTGTGCATTTTTTGGAAGCATTGATGAGTGGATTAACTTTTGTAGTCACCGAAAGGTGTTGTTTTGCCATAGTGAGTTTGAGATGCATTAGCAGTGAGTTGGATGTCTTTTGGTAAGGTGGAGTATAGATACCTAGAGATACATTGGTGATATGCACGAGGGATATAGAGTGTGACATTTGGATCACGAGTGGAGATGTGATCAAATGTGTAGAATCATCTATCTGTGAAAGAGACCATGTACAGGTGGAGTGTGAGAGATGCACTTCTATCACTTCTGTAAGGTGGAGTCCTATTATCCATGTAGGTTGGGAGAAGTGATGTGGTGATAGAGGATTATCCCGAAAGTTTAGGATCTACTGCGACTTACCAGTTAGACATGAGTTGAGTGATTGGTTTAGTGAGCATGGTGGGCGATGAGAGGAGATATGTGTTCTCGAGGTGGGAGTAACACGAAATGGGATATGATAAGTATAGTGAAATCCTTCATGGGGTCATTTATGCATTTACTGCATATGTATTTGACCGTGTGCTGATTAACTAGGTGTTAATCTATGGTTATGTGTGAACATGATTTTGAAAAGATCTATGTCTGTTATCCTATATATCTTCATCGCATGATTGTTTGTTCACTGTTAATACTTATTTCTATTTGGGTGTTCTTAACCTTAGCCCTGGTGAGTACATGGAGCAAGTATGATATGTGTTTGGGTTCGAAATACGAGGTAAGGTCTGTGTTTCCAATTTTATTGAATTACCTTGATTGTGCAGATTATTAGGCATCAAGGTGGAGATTGTTGGGTTTTTTGATACCCAATGATCCGGGCGATGATTCAAAACAGTTGTCGGATTATTTATCGACACTATGAATTTGGCTCGGCTCGAAGATGAACTTCACTTTTGGATGGCTCGGGTTTGGGTTGGATAATTATTTGGTTAGTTGGACCATTTAGTGATTAATATGGAGTTGAATATTAGCCCATTAATTTAGGTTAATTGGTAGCCCACTTAGTGAACCCTATGCCCAATTAGAGTGACCTAAACTAACATATATATATGTATTTATCTCCCAACCTTTTTTGATGGTGTGTGTTGTAGCAATGGAGAGGAGAGTTGAGAGAAGAGAGGCGGCCGAGAGAAAGGGAAGCCATGTGAGGTTGTGAGTAAGATTCAACCATTGTGATATCTCCTTCTTCCTCTCTATATCTTTGTGGATTACTAACACCACCACCCTTCTCCTTTGTGGGGTTAGAGAGAAAGAGAACAGTCCAAAGTGAAGGCGAAAGTCTTGGGCCAAGCCAAGGTAAATCGGTGTTCGTTTGATTGTTTTTTGATCCCAGTATCAAGATTTATCGAGAGATTTCCGCTACACTTCTTTTTAACCACACATTTTCAAAAAATTGCTACTATAAAACTCTTTTTTGATAAAAAAAAAAAATATATATATATATAGGGCTCAAACACATAAATACATTTTAGCCGAAAAGGGGTAAAAAAAATCAAAGAGGGCCATTCGTATTTTGTAGAGTTAAGTTTACAAATAGTTACTACTTTAGGGGCACCCAATTCATTTCAACATTGGCCAATCAAACCTTAATATCAACTAATAGCCATTTTGTCCATGTTGTCAAATTACAGATCGTCAAAATAAAGCGCTAATTTAGAAGGAAAAAATCTCATTCAACCAAAAATAAATAAATCTCAACTCCCTCTCTTTAACCCAAACTCCATTTTGCATCAATAATTAACATTAAAAAGGCCAAGTTTGAGCTAAATAGGGACCAATAGGAAGGAATCGACCACTTCAACAGATGTTAATATACGAGAAGTGTTTAACGACTCCCATGTCAAATACGACATTTATCAGTATAACGGAGTGAACATTTATGTAATATTATTTAACTTAACTAAATGTGTTATAAAACACTTTAATGACTAATTTAAAATTTCACTTAAACTTCCGTGACTATTTGTGAAATTAACTCTATAAATTAGCGTTTGCTATAAGCAATATTATCGTAAATATGAATTAATATCATCGAAAAATAACACACAACGCGTGTACAATTTTATTAAACTATTTAAAATCTTCCACGCCAGAATGTCACTAGTATGTGATTAGTGATTACAAACTTATTGTGCCCACATTTCAACTCTATGTCCGTATAGGCCTATGAAATTGGTGCAATAATGCAATTCCATGAATGGAAATCTTGTATCTGCCTTTATGAGAGCTTTAAACTTTAGGTACCTTTTTTTTATTTTTTTTTATTTTAATTTGTTACTTTTCATCTTTAGTGAGTGGTCAATATTGGAAAAATGAATTCATATCCACTCTCTAAAGATGGAAAGTAACAAATTAAAATAGTTTTTATCGATGTGTACAAGACGTTTATTTAAGGTTTCACTGCATTTGACTAGAGAAAATCGATTTTTTCTCAATATAAGTATCATTTGTTACATACATTTTTTTTTCTTTTGCACTCTCGAGAGTTCACGTAGTTGCCGTTATTATTATCAAGTAAAAAATAAATTGAATTTACAAATCCGTAGAAGAGGTAGTCTACTTAGCTCATTGGGATTTTTCTTTTTATGAATATATTTGCACAATTTGATCAATAAATGCCTATTATTACAATATTGCCACAGTGGATTTAGATCATTCTTTGATTTGAGCCACTATTTTTTATATATTCTTTAAAATTATTATTTTTTTAAAGTTCATTTTTAAACATACATGCAATTAATAAAATAATTTTGTACATGAATCCATAACATTTTCCTACCTTTAACCAAATCTTCCAAAAATATCATTTTTCATTAAAATTTATACTAAAATTGTTTACATCAAACATACCTGGGGGGGGGGGAAAAGGCAA